GAAACGGAGAGATTAACATTCATCAGGTTGAATCAAACTAAACTCCGATCTGAAGAGTATGTTCACCTTCGAGATGCGATTAATACTGATGGAAATGCACAGAATGTCGGTCGGATGATTATTCTTCCAGCAACATACATCGGAAGCCCTCGGCATATGCACGAATATGCTCAAGATGCCATGTCGTATGTTCGTCATTATGGTACAGCAGATTTGTTCATCACATTTACATGCAATCCACAATGGATAGAAATCAAGCAGGAGTTATTCCCTGGGCAATCACCCATTGATCGTCATGATATTACAGCCAGAGTCTTTAGACAAAAGTTGAAATCTTTAATGGATTTCATCGTAAACATAATGTGTTTGGTAAGACACGCTGCTGGATGTATTCTGTGGAGTGGCAGAAACGAGGATTGCCACATGCACACATTTTGATTTGGTTGGTTGAAAAGATAAGGCCAAATGAAGTTGATGCAGTGATATCAGCTGAAACCCTAATGTACAAGTAGATCCTGGATTGCATGAGGTAGTTATCAAAAACATGATACATGGTCCCTGTGGAACTCTTAATCAAATTCACCGTGTATGATGGATGGTAAATGTTCAAAACGATATCCACGGACATTAATATCGGAAACAATTACTGGTAATGACGGTTATCCATTGTATCGTCGCAGATCGACAGAGACAATGGAAAATCAACAATTGTCAAATTAAATCAACAAGATATTGAAATAGATAATCGTTGGATTGTTCCATATTCACCCATTTTATCAAAGACATTCAAAGCACACATCAACGTTGAATCTTGCCATTCAGTGAAATCTATTAAATACATTTGCAAATATGTAACCAAAGGGAGTGATATGGCTGTGATTGGAATTGGTGCAGAGAATTCCAATGATGAGTTACCCAATACCAAATGGGCCTATGTCAGTAGTAATGAAGCAGTTTGGCGAATATTTTCTTTCCTATTCATGAGAGACACCCTTCTGTTGTTCACTTAGCTGTGCATTTAGAAAATGGACAAAGAGTGTATTTTACAGCACAGAACGCAGTACAAAGAGCTGCTCAGCCACCATCTACTACATTAACCAGTTTTTTTGAGACATGCCAAAACGATTATTTCGCACAAACATTGCTATATTCTGAAATGCCAAAATATTATACCTGGAATCAATCCTCAAGGAGATTTATACGACGGAAACAAGGAAAACCAGTTCCAGGATATACAGATGTATATTCCACCGATGCGATTGGCCGGATTTATTCAGTACATCCAAGCAATGATGAATGTTTTTACTTACGACTGCTATTAGTCAATGTACGTGGCCCAACATCATTCCAACAGTTACGAACTGTTGATGGTGAATTGTGTGGATCCTACAGAGAAGCCTGTCAACGTTTGCAATTGCTTGAAAATGACGCTCATTGGGATCAAACTCTCAATGATGCTGTAATATCATCACACATCACAATTACTAGTAAGTGCAGTGACCTATGATGACTATTAAAGAACAATTTACAAGTATATTCCCGAAGCGCGCGAAAAGTGATCCTTTTAACAAAAAAAAAAAAAACAAAACGTCGCTAAACGCATTGAATTCGCCAGAAATCATATTGACTGGCCATTGGGAAAGTGGCGAAATATATTATGGACAGCTGAAAATAAAATCCATCTTTTTGGAGGCACATAAAATATTAGTTTTGTCATGAATCAACATGCCCACGTGAATATTTTGAATAACCTTACGCAGAATACAAAATGCCTCTGAAATGGGACTTCCAGAAGGATAATGACCAGAAACATACGTGTCGGCTAGCCAAGTCAGAAAAACCAAGCCAGCCAGCAATAATCACGAACTTTGGGCAATAGTGAAGGATTATTTGAGAAAAATACCACATACGTTATTGAAAAATTTTGCAGTTTTATATATATAAAAGCCATATAATATGTAAAATATATGTTCATGTTATGTTCGTACTCAATTTCAAGACAGAAACAAATTAAATAAAATTTTAATAAGAAATTCATGTATTGACGTACATAATATATATAATGTAGAGGCCCGCTGTATTCCCTGATTTACATATGTAAAAATATAATACCCGATTTTTATATTACCTATGACTACTGATCATAGTATACCAGAAAGCGTACATAACAACAACCAGTTTACACTTTTGAGATGTACTGCTTAAATTAACATGTAGCTTTACTTCAATTCGCAAACGAATTCTTGAAATTTAATAGAAATAAATGACGTTTATTAAATCCAAAAATCGTTATGTTTAGCAAATTTGAAATAATGTACAAGAAAGATATAATTAGATTACTACACTTTCAATTATTTCAACGTATTAAAATCAAGCGTTTAAGCACAATTATTACAATTATAGGTTTTATTCATATTAATATATCAATGAACATTGTCAATTCTTGCAATATTTCACAACAAAATATTATGAAAGTAAATATTATTTGAAAAATATTTAAGAGTTTAAATTATAGAAATAATGAAGATCATAAGATATGCAATGCTACAAAATATCTATAACCACCTAAGAAAATAAATGTACCTACTAAAGACAATAATCATGCTTGATGTAGAGCAGACAAAAGTAAAGCAAATGCGGATAGTAAACACCTCGAAGTAAAGATCACTACTTTTGGTAGCGGTTTCAGCAACAGTAAGGCTGAAATATTAGAACTTTTGAAATGTCAACTGTCTTTAGCAATGCAAATTATTACGCCCGCTGAAAAACGTACCGATATCAAGAAATTGTGTCAAGAAATCTTCAGGTTATGAAAAAATTTATATGAATTTTGTTTCTAACACTTATTTATAATATAATTCAATATTAAGGTTTAAAAATTTTCCTACTCAGTGAAAGTGTGCTGTGATGTGCAATGGTATCCAAACCATCTAAACCAGAGAACGAAATAACTTCATTTATGTATATTATATGTATGTATATTGGTATATATCAATCAGTTAGTCGTTTTATTCTCGGTCACACCTACCTTCGCCATGTTAAACTCGTCGATTAAGCCACGAGCTGCTGCTTTATTCAACGATATTCACAGATTTTGTCTCATGTGATGTCTGATAAGCGCTATATTTGCTTGCGAAGAAGTATGGCTGAAAAGAAACAACGGCACGCATCCATGAGAAAACTGATTTTTATAATATTACTTTAAGAATAATAAAAGTAGCTATTGAAAAGTACTATTATAGGTAGTCCTCTTCATCAAGATTCAGTGTTAAAGTTAAGAAAGTTTACTAATTGACGACACGTTTAGGCTAAATATATTGTATAGTTTTCGTGGTGAGGGAAAAGCAAGTTTTAGTTCTTTCACGTTCGCGAGTATTAGAATTGAATTTTCGTCTCATATCATAAAACTTTTCATTATACGAGCATGTTCTTACTAATCTACTGCTCAGTATCTCGAACTTGCCATTCTGGTTTATTAGCAGCCGAACCAATCGTAACCGCATCATAACAATAAAGTTAATATAATATTTAAAAGAAATTAAAATTGATACAATAATTTATCTGAAGTTTACACCAACTGAACTTGACTTTTATTTTGAGCGTTGTTTAAAGAAACGAGAAATTATATTGCTGTAGTAGTGAAGTTTAACTGTCCAAAGATGCATAAGATAGCAACGACGAAAATAATATATGAATATATACCTAGTTAATATCAAATTAAAAATATTTTTACAGGTTATGATGCCGAAGATTGCTATAATACTGTTTTTACGTTTGTGCCCAAATCATGCTATCTTTACTAATTTAGCAAATATCAAGAGAGAGCAAGGATATATTGAAGAAGCTACCTGTATCTAAAGGCTATATTTCACTTGTTGCTGCTCATTCCAACTTGGCTTCGGCATTTCAGCAACAAGGAAAATTAAAAGAGGTCAATGTATTATAAAGGCTGCCCATCCAGCCAACCTTTATGATGTTTATTCTAATATGGGTAACACACTAAAGAGTTACAGATATTAATGGGGCGCTTCAATGTTATGCATGTGCGATTCAATAAACTGGCATTTACATTCATAGTAACCCAAGTATACACAAAGATTCAGGTAATATTCCTGATGCCATACAGCCATGCTAGAACCGCCCCTCAATTAAAACCGATTTTCCTGACGCCTATTGCACTTAGCCATTGGTTTACAAATTGCATGTGACTGACGGATATGATGCTCGAATGAAGAAACAATCAGCATTGTAGCGGATCAATTAGAAAATGTTTACCTTCATACATCCACATCATTCATCAAAGATCCATATCACATGAATTTGCAAGGCTATAGCAACGCGACATGCAAACCTTGCTTAGAAAGATTCATGTGCTCACAAACCAGTATACAAATACGGAGGTTCACGATGGTAGATTGCGCATTGGATGTGTTTAGATTGCAACTATCCTACCTCTCACTTAATGCACAACAATCCTTGGTGACTTCATGATAAATCTGTGTTGAGATTTTCTGTTATGTTAAGTTCAGATGAGGAATAACGCTTTGATATAAGATCATACGAGGCTGAACATTTCGTAGATTTGTTCAAATCCAGTGCAATGGTAAAGCTGCTGATCGCATTTATATTCGATGACCATTATTAGTTAATATGAATGGTATAATAAAGGAGTCGCAACGAAGACGGTATTGTCCCGCCCAGTGTTATGTATGGATACCGTACCAGTGGTGTTTATGATTTATCATTACTGATTGTGTTATTAGTCCTCCGGAACTTGCTTCACAATATAGTGAAAAGTTGCATATATGCCTAATACATATTTCATAGGATCATACAAATGTTTCATCAAAGAACTATTATAGTTTGCGATAAACAACAACATGTGTGAGCGATAATATTAAGGCTACAATGCAGCAGATTGACACCGTTAGTAGAAAGCACCGAATGTTAAGAAGTGCGAGAGATAGTAATGCCCAGAAACCCAGAACAGCAAGTAATCTATAATATAAAAATGAATCGCAAAATGTGTTGGTAAGCGCATAACTCAACAACGCCTGGACCAATTTAGCTAAATCTTTTTTTTAAATTTTCGTTGAAGTTCAAGGATGGTTTTTACGGCGATAAAAATTAGAATTATTGCTGGAAAAACCCTAAAAATAGCCCTTTTCTTTTTCCCATACAAATGATTTGTAACTAAAACGTAGTCAATTTGAGCTTTATTGCTATGGTATAAAGTTCATATTAAATTACAAGCACTCACTGTTGTCTAAGCAATGTAGGTGTGTTCCTAACGTCAAAGATCATATCTATCAAAACAATGTGCGTGTGTGCGTTGGAGCTCAGAATATATAGTTGGAGGAGTTTAATGTGGCGTTCCGAAACTCGCGGACCAACAGTGTTTTATTATTTTTAATATCCAAATTTTAAGTACGGCTTAAAAGGATTTGACTTCAAGTCATATAAAATTTAAAAAGAAAAAAGTTGTCTGTTACCTAATCTACTGAGTTTGCTTTTGACGACTGATACACGAAACAAATTCGTATATAGTTTTTTGTGCAGAGTGTTTACTTAGTTAGTGTTTGTTTAGTTCGTGATTAGTGAAAAAATAATTTATATTTGATATGCCTCCTATATGACGAAGCAATTTAGGTAGAAGAACCAGAAATGCTACAAACCAAGCTAATTACCGATCTAATCGTACTGCACAAGAACGTGACGACGGAAATGAACGTGAAAGAATTCGGATATCACAAACGCGTGAAGCGCGAGCGCGACATTCAACTAATAATCGCGCAAGTTTGAATCGAGCTGCTTTCAGTTACGATGTGTCAATTGACTACAGTAACTACCAATGTGTTGTTATTGGTTCTATGAACTCGGTTTGCTCACACTGTAAGGCATTAAAATACAAAAACGAAGCCAATGGATTGTGTTGCGCAAATGGTAAAGTGAAATTGATACCATTGGATCCACCACCAGAACCATTGTACTCATTGGTTTCAGGAATAGGAACAGATTCTATACACTTTTTGACACATATCCAACAATATAACAATTGCTTTCAAATGACTTCATTTGGGGCAACAAATGTAGTTCGGGAAAATTTTATGCCAACTTTCAAGGTATGTATTATAGCAGTTACTCATAATTATTTTAGCGAACAAAATTTTTTGGCACCAAAGTTAAGATGTGTCACTAATCTTCAATTTCTTAATCACTTATATATCACTTAGTCATCATATTATATGGGGATTTAGTTTCAGTGACACTTTTATTATATTTTATATTTAATAGATATTAGTTAAAACTAAATATATACATCCAATCCATTAATTTATACCACACCATAATATTTTTTTTTTATTTACAGATACAAGGGCAAATATATCACAGAGCAGGTTCACTGTTACCAGTGTCAGATAACGACAACAAATTCCTGCAAATTTATTTTATGGGCAATTCACCACAAGAAATTGATCTGCGTTGTGCACATAACAATTTAGTAAAGAGGTCTATTGTAGAACAATTACAAACTTTATTTCATCAACACAATCAATTGATTATATTGTTTAAAACTGCCTTGGATCTGATGCCATCCGATAATCACAAAATTGTAATCAGAGCTGATAAAACACCTGCAGGTCAACATACAAGACGTTTTAATGTACCAACTATTGATGAAGTTGCTATCGTTGTAGTTGGAGAAAACTTGGAATCCCGTGATATTGTTTTACATCGTCGGAATGATCAATTACAACGTATAAAGGAAACACACCGCTCATATGATGCACTGCAATATCCCATTATATTTTGGCAAGGTGAAGATGGCTACGATTTCTCAATAAAAATGATAAATCCCATTACAGGTAACTAAAATATCTCAGTCATTATATTATGTATTTTGAATGTTATTAAAATAAAATCTATTTACAGGTTCTGAAACCAACAAAAAAGTCAGTTCAATGAACTATTATTCATACCGCCTAATGATTCGGGAAAATGAAGATAATCACATATTGAAATGTCGGCGATTATATCACAAATATGTTGTTGATATGTATGTTAAAATTGAAACGGAGAGATTAACATTCATCAGGTTGAATCAAACTAAACTCCGATCTGAAGAGTATGTTCACCTTTGAGATGCGATTAATACTGATGGAAATGCACAGAATGTCGGTCGGATGACTATTCTTCCAGCAACATACATCGGAAGCCCTCGGCATATGCACGAATATGCTCAAGATGCCATGTCGTATGTTCGTCATTATGGTACAGCAGATTTGTTCATCACATTTACATGCAATCCACAATGGATAGAAATCAAGCAGGAGTTATTCCCTGGGCAATCACCCATTGATCGTCATGATATTACAGCCAGAGTCTTTAGACGAAAGTTGAAATCTTTAATGGATTTCATCGTAAAACATAATGTGTTTGGTGAGACACGCTGCTGGATGTATTCTGTGGAGTGGCAGAAACGAGGATTGCCACATGCACACATTTTGATTTGGTTGGTTGAAAAGATAAGGCCAAATGAAGTTGATGCAGTGATATCAGCTGAAATCCCTAATGTACAAGTAGATCCTGGATTGCATGAGGTAGTTATCAAAAACATGATACATGGTCCCTGTGGAACTCTTAATCAAAATTCATCGTGTATGATGGATGGTAAATGTTCAAAACGATATCCACGGACATTAATATCGGAAACAATTACTGGTAATGACGGTTATCCATTGTATCGTCGCAGATCGACAGCAGACAATGGAAAATCAACAATTGTCAAATTAAATCAACAAGATATTGAAATAGATAATCGTTGGATTGTTCCATATTCACCCATTTTATCAAAGACATTCAAAGCACACATCAACGTTGAATCTTGCCATTCAGTGAAATCTATTAAATACATTTGCAAATATGTAACCAAAGGGAGTGATATGGCTGTGATTGGAATTGGTGCAGAGAATTCCAATGATGAAGTTACCCAATACCAAATGGGCCGCTACGTCAGTAGTAATGAAGCAGTTTGGCGAATATTTTCTTTTCCTATTCATGAGAGACACCCTTCTGTTGTTCACTTAGCTGTGCATTTAGAAAATGGACAAAGAGTGTATTTTACAGCACAGAACGCAGTACAAAGAGCTGCTCAGCCACCATCTACTACATTAACCAGTTTTTTTGAGACATGCCAAAACGATTATTTCGCACAAACATTGCTATATTCTGAAATGCCAAAATATTATACCTGGAATCAATCCTCAAGGAGATTTATACGACGGAAACAAGGAAAACCAGTTCCAGGATATACAGATGTATATTCCACCGATGCGATTGGCCGGATTTATTCAGTACATCCAAGCAATGATGAATGTTTTTACTTACGACTGCTATTAGTCAATGTACGTGGCCCAACATCATTCCAACAGTTACGAACTGTTGATGGTGAATTGTGTGGATCCTACAGAGAAGCCTGTCAACGTTTGCAATTGCTTGAAAATGACGCTCATTGGGATCAAACTCTCAATGATGCTGTAATATCATCACACGCTCACCAAATACGAACATTGTTTTCTATAATCATATCTACATCCCATCAAACCCAATTGATTTGTGGATCAAGTACAAAGATTATATGTGTGATGATATTTTGTATCAAATACGGAATAGAATGGGAAATCCAAATATACAAATCAGTGAAGAAATTTACAATGAAGTATTGATTTCAATTGAGGACATGTGCTTGATAATGTCAAACAAACTATTAATTCAATTAGGCCTGACCGCGCCCAATCGTCCAATGCATGACGCTTTTAACCAAGAGCTGCATCGAGAAAAACTGTATGATCTCAACTCTTTGAAAGAATTAATTCAAACAAATCTTCCACTGTTAAATGAACAACAGAAGTATGTATTTGAAACTCTTATGAAAGTAACAAATGATGAAACTGGAGGCATTTACTTCTTAGATGCACCTGGTGGTACAGGAAAAACTTTTTTGATTTCATTAATATTAGCAACAATTCGCTCACAAAATAAAATTGCACTTGCACTCGCTTCGTCGGGAATCGCAGCAACTTTGCTTGAAGGTGGTCGAACAGCCCATTCAGCACTAAAATTGCCATTAAATATGCAAAGCAATGAAACTCCAACCTGCAACGTTTCGAAGAACTCTGCAATGGCAAAGGTTTTGCAGCAATGTAAATTGATTGTTTGGGATGAATGCACGATGGCACATAAAAAATCTTTGGAGGCTTTAGACAGAACCTTAAAAGATCTACGGAGCAATAATAACCGATTTGGTGGTGCAATGATTTTATTAGCAGGAGATTTTCGTCAAACATTGCCAGTGATTCCACGATCAACGCCAGCTGATGAACTCAATGCATGTCTAAAGTCCTCCAATTTGTGGAAACATGTCAAAGTTCTTCATTTAAGTAAGAATATGCGTGTCGAATTGCAAAATGACCAATCTGGAAACATATTCTCTAAACAACTCATTGACATTGGTAATGGCAAATTTCCTATAGACATGTTGACTGGCTGCATTAACTTTCCTCAAAGTTTTTGTCAGTTAACTCGATCAAAAGATGAACTTATTCAGAAGGTGTTTCCAGATGTTTCTCAAAATTACAGAAACCATGATTGGTTGAGCGAACGAGCTATACTGGCTGCAAAAAACATAGATGTAAATGAATTAAATTTCAAAGTTCAAGAACAAATTACAGGCGAATTGAGGATATATAAATCAGTTGATTCGGCTACTAATCAAGATGATGTAGTCAACTATCCACCGGAATTTTTAAACTCGCTGGATTTGCCAGGATTGCCACCTCACAATCTTCAATTAAAGGTTGGATCGGTGGTTATAATGTTGCGAAATATCAACCAACCGCGTCTTTGCAACGGTACACGGTTAGCGATAAAAAAATTACTAAACAATGTGATAGAAGCAACTATACTCAAAGGAAAGTATAAAGGAGAAGATGTTCTTATACCGCGCATCCCAATGATTCCGACTGATGTGCCATTTGAGTTTAAACGACTACAGTTTCCAGTGCGGCTTGCTTTTGCTATGACTATAAACAAGTCCCAGGGGCAATCATTAAGTGTTTGTGGTATTAATCTAGAAAACCCATGTTTCTCACATGGTCAATTGTATGTTGCCTGTTCCCGTGTTGGAAAACCATCAGATTTGTTTATCTATGCGCCAGGTAATCAAACAAAAAACATCGTATACCACAAGGCACTACAATGATAATAATAATAATTATGATTCACATGATTAACAATAAAGCGATTACTTATTTTTAAATCCTTATATATGTTTTATTTAATTATTTTTTATTCACAACGCCCTATCACCAGGGTGACGGTTCTGTTCAGGAGAATTTTTTAAAATACGTAGGCGAAAAAAATGCCAAATTACAAATCTTTTTGACAGGACGAAGTCTGTCGGGTCAGCTAGTTCAAAATAAAATATATTCACAAAAATCAAAATGAAGTATTCAAAAAACAATATTGGCAAATTATTGAGTTGGTAATATTTTTAAATAAACACAGGTATTTTCTTTAAGAATATTCAAATATTTAACATATTCTTATTAACGGCTATTATACTGCCACAGGTCGGCAAACACAATAGGGGTATCACCTGGACTTGGTTCAACGAGGATCAGAATAGCATTAGAGGTTCCAAAATTTTTTAATAATATATAATAAGTTTAGTATACTTATCTTATTATCAAACTTAATGTAAGCATTTATTTTTAAGCATTTCAGCCACGGACACTCCTATACAACTAAATGTTTAAAACAGTTAAAAGTGCTAAACACGTCTAATCAAAAATGTCTGATCTGCAATGTTGAATAGAATCTCATAAGATTTATTTATTATTATTTATAGTTCCAGAATTCGAAATTAGCAAACCGAGAAACACGCAAAACCATATCTATTGTAAATGCAAATTCCTGCTTAACGAATTAACAGATAGAAAATGAGGAAAAAGTTCGATTTCCAAAGAATGTATGCAGCGATACATCACGAAGTATATTAAAAATAGAAAGTTTTCTGCGACAGTTTGTTATCTTTTTTTATATTTATATTATTATATATTTGGTTTGTTTTCAAAATGTAAGGAAAAACTTAGTTTTGTATAATGAAAGACTAGACTAGACTGAAAAGACTATTAATGAACTATGTACTGTAAAATTGTGAAATGTCACCTTTAATCTACTGTTTAATATTCCAACAATATACCCTTAAAAAGGTCTAATGTTTACCACTGTATAGACTGATTTGTTGTTTTATTTAAAAATTCAATAATTTAAACGACTATTGAAATATATAATATGATATAATAAATATGATAAAACATTTATTCATAAGCCCGATAAAATATATGTATGTATATTTTAAACTTACCATACGCCTCAACAGATTTTTTAATATTCTGTTCTCCAACTGCAGGGAATCTTAGTAGCCATAGTACTGAATTTGGCACATTTTTTAAAATTGATACCCATGATTGTAAAGTTTGTGGGTCTATCTTGTACAACTGATTGAAATTGCAATATACTATTGCTTCGTCAGGTAATAAATATTGTCGGCGAGTTGTGATGACAATATTTTGTGGTACCTCTTCCCCAGTAGCAGCTTTGTTGTTTGTTTGGGTTGTAGCTAACCCGTTCTGAACAAGAATCCCATTAAGAGACGTTTGAACTTGACCGGAGGCAATCATTGATACAATTTGAGTAGTACTTGGTAATTCTGCAACTTTATGTGTAATTTCTAAAGGTTTCTGGGCATTTACTATCTCTCGCACTTCTTTAACGTCGGTGCTTTCTACTAACGGTGATAAATCTGCTGCATTTATGACAGCAATATTATCAGCTACACATGTTTGTTGTTTATCGCAAACTATAATACGTTCTTTGAGATGAGGAAACATTTGCTTATGATCACCTATGAAATATGTATTAGGCATATATGCCAGCTTTTCACTATATTGTGAAGCAAGTTCCGGAGGACTAGTAACACAATCAGTAATGATATAATCCATAAAACTTGCACCACTAGTGCCCGGGTATCCTAGCCACATAACTTGCACTGGAGCGGGACGTAATGCAAATATTTCGTTGCGAGCTCCTTTAGTATACCCATTCATATTAACTAATATGTGAATTCCATCCGAATAAATGCGATCAGCAGCTTTACCATTGCACTGGATTTGAGACAAATCTACGAAATGTTCAGCCTCGCGTATGATCTTATATCTAAACGTTGTCCCATCATCTGAACTTAACGCATAACAGAAAATCTCAACACAGGATTTATCATGAAGTCCTGGGATTGATTGCATTAAGTGAGAGGTAGGATGGTTGCCGAAATCTGAGCTTACATATCCAATGCGCAATCTACCATCAGTGGGCAACTCCCGTGAAAATTTGTATGCTGGTTTGTGGAGCACATGAATCTTTTCTAAGCAAAGGTTTGCATGTCGCGTTGCTATAGCCTTGCGAAATTCATGTGATAATGGATATAACATTGAATGATGTGGATGTACTGAAGGTAAACGATTTTTTTCTAATTGATCCGCTACAATGCTGATTAGTTTCTTCATTCGAGCATCATAATCCGTCCAGTCACATACAATTTGTAAACAATGAGCTAAATTGCAATAGGCGTCGGGAAAATCCGGTTTTAATTTGAGGGCGGTTCTATATGACTGTATGGCATCAGGAATATTGCCTGAATCTTTGTGTATACTTGCAAGGTTGCTATGGGCATCAGCAAATGCCGGATTTATTTGAATCGCACGTGTATAACATTGAAGCGCCCCATTAATATCCTGTAGCTCTTTTAGTGTGTTACCCATATTAGAATAAGCATCCGCAAAAGTTGGCTGGATACGAATAGCTTCTTTATAATGCATTAGAGCCTCTTTTAATTTTCCTTGTTGCTGAAGTACCGAAGCCAAGTTGGAATGAGCAGCAGCAAAGTCCGGAAATACTTCAAGCGCTTTAAGATACAAACGAGTGGCTTCTTCAATATATCCTTGCTCTCGCTTGATATTTGCTAAATTATTAAGGGAATCAGCATGATTTGGGCACAAACGTAAAGCAGTATTATAACAATCTTCGGCATCCTTAACCTGTAAAAATATTTTTTTTTTTTAATTTGAGTAACAATACAAATTTTTCATATTCATATATTATTTTCAAATCGTTGCTATCTTGTAAAATATTTGGACAGTTAAACTTCCTACTACCATATGTAATTTTGCTCGTTTCTTTAAACAACGCTCAGAAATAAAAGTCAAGTTCAAGTTGAACAAATAAACTTCAGATAAATTAGCCATTGTATCAATTTTAATTATTTTACTTTTAAATATTATATTAACACAATTGTTGTAGTATGCAGTTTTTTGATTGGTTCGGCTGCTTTAATGAGCCAAGTGTAAGTTCGAGATACTGAGCAGTAGATTAGTAAAGAACATACTCGTATAATGAAAAGTTTTATGAATATGAGACGAAAATTCAATTCTAATACTCATGAACGTAAAGAAGAACTAAAACTTGCTTTTCCCTCTACGAAAACTATACAATATATTGCTTAAACGTGTCGTCAATTAGTAAACTTTTCTTAACTTTAACTTTTCAAGATCTTGATAGAGGACTACCTATAATAGTACTTTTCAATAATACTTTTTATTATTAAAGTAATATAATTATAAAATCAGTTTTCTCATGGATGCATTACCCGTTGTTTCTTTTCAGCCATACTTCGCAAACAAATATTAAGCGCTTATCAGACATCTCGCACATGAGACAAAATCTGTGAGATATCGTTGAATAAGCAGCAGCTCGTGGCTTAATCGACGAGTTTAACCGTGGCGAAGGTAAGGTGTGACCGGTAAGCCCTGGTCCCGTTTTGCTCTTGTCCAGGTAGTAGATTAAGTTTTCACATTGTGAACCTCATAAGCAACACTATTGAAACGAGCGGATCCATTAGTAAAATACTCTGACCCAAATCTCATTGAAAAAATATGTTCACTTGAAAGAACCACAATATTCCAAGTAAAAAAATCCTAATAATTCTCAAGAAATTTTCTAAAATTTCATAAGAGTAAATTTATTAGAAAGTGGTCAAAAATCTGTTGCATCACCAGAATGTTAAAAAATAAATAAAGAAATAATTTATTTGTTTTTAAACGAAAATAGTCATCGCTATTATAATTTTGTAATTATTTTTGTAATTAAAATTTTTTTGGAGTGAAAAGATTGTTTGTGGGACTGCATTAAATACAGTTATTGCCAAAATAACGGAGTTTCTTTTGAAATCGTAAATTTAAATAATATTTTGGAGTTCTCGGATGGGAACTATTGAACATTTTGGGGAGAATTATTAGTAAGTATTAAAAGCACGAAAGCACAAGAAAGTCTCAAAACAAAACGTAAAATAAATAATTGTTATAAATTAAGCAAAACCGTTTTAGTGTAATTTTAATCGACAAAATATACACTGCAAATATACTTATTTTTCGTTTTTTGTATAATATGCTCTTAATTATTAAAAAAAAAAAAGTTTTAATAATAGACGTGAAAGGCATTATACAAAACAAAAAATTGCAAAACAAAGAAAAGAGTCAGCGTAAGATTGCTGAAATAATTGGACACTCCCAAAACATAGTTTTAAGTGTCTTATTATCAAAATAGGGTATTTCAAAATTGGTAAGCTGTACTACATAAGACACCTGCTATAACCAATAAAATGTATAAGCATCCATGTGTTTTCCTGACCTGTCGTTGGGCCAATTAGGTTTTGTATTGCACAATATGGACAACACCGCTACGTCCAAATACTTAAAAATATTATGCTACTTTTCGCTGAACAGGATATGCTTTATAAATGGGTGTATTAGAAACCAATGACATCAAACAACTTGCGGTTTGGAAAAAAATGGTTTTCAGACAAAGGGGATAATGTTATGGAGTTGCCCGCATAATCCTTAGACTTAAATTTTATAGAAATTTTTTCAGAAAGGCAAGGAGCACATAGATCTAATGAAACCTAAAAAAATGGTGGAATATGGTCAAAAGTAAAGTTACCTACAAACTTTACTTTTGACGATCCCGCAAAAGAGATGACAGGTTTTAGTAGCTTCTATGCTCAAGTGGTATAATTGCTAATAAAGGTTATTTTACCAAATACAAATTTTGAAATATTTAAATTTGTGTAAATTGGTATGTTAAAAAAATCTTTTTTTTTTTGTTATCATTCAAATAAAATTTCAGATTTCTTTAATATTTTCAATGAACACTATGGAAAATGTAATACTTAAACTAATTAATTAATTGTTATGAAGATAAAAAATATTTTTTATTACCTTAAAAATCTAAATTTTAGTGAAGTTATGCCTTTTGAAATATTTGGATTCATTTGCCAGATTGATTTTGCGGCTGTCTGTCTTCCTAATCAAAAACGAGCCACTGCCACGTTCAGAGTATTATATACAATGTGCGTTCCAAAGTAAACAGGACAAATGGTTTTATCGGCAAAATCAATTAATTTTATTCAAAATAGTCTCATTCTGCTTTAATGCAGCTTTTTGCACGGTCCAAAAGCATGTCGAACGAGTATTTTAGCTCGTTGCCCGATATAGCCGCCAGTATGCCGGTGCCTTTTGAATGGCCTCCACGTCTGCATAACGCTTTTCTTTCATCGGCAAATGCATTTTTCCGAAAAGGTAGAAGTCGCAACGCCAACTTCCATCTTCGCGATATTCGGGCCGAACACGTCGAATACGGCGCACCAAACGCTTCAAAACTCCAAGGTAGAATACCGCATTAACGTTTTGGCCGGGTGGAACAAATTCTTTGTGGACAATACCCTTGGAATCATAAAAACAAATCAGCATTGTCTTTACTTTTGACTTCTCCACGCGCGATTTTTTGGGTTTCGGCTCATTTCTCATTTATGTCCTCACGACCACTTTAAAATCTTGAAACCACTCGTGCACTCTGCTACGGGATAGGCAATCATCGCTATAAACTTGTTTCATCAATTGAAACGTTTCGATAAAAGTTTTACCAATTTTAAAACAAAATGTAATGTTGGGTCTTTGTTTGAAGCTCATTTGCACACCGATGACAAAAACATACTGACACTTAAAACGCAATAACTTCACTTCCACTAGATGAAATGTCATGAAATTTTTACTGAAAGTCGATAAAGGATAGCAGATTCTAACGCACTAGTCGACATATAGTTGGCGTCACTAGAGTTTACTTTTTTACTGTTTACTTTGGAACGCACCTGGTAGAATTACATAAGGTAATTTTTTTAAACATAGATAATAATATTTTATTGACTTATACAATACCAGGCC